AAAGAGTGGAAGGCAACATGGGGCTGTGATTGAGCTTCTAACTCGTTCCTCACTGTGAGCATGGCTATGCCTGCCTCTAACACACAAACATAGCACTCACCACACCATCTTGTCATGACATATTGACACATTGTCTCCTCCACTCAGCAACTCTTCTTGGGATGAATGGGACTTCAGGAGCAATTCTTCTAAGTGCTTCTTGGGGTCTTTGGGTACCACAATTTGTCCCAGACCAGTGATTCTTTCAGTGGATGTTTCCAGGATCAGAGCAGAACAGCACAAGACAATACTTTGATTTGATAGGTGTGTCATGCACATTAGTTTAGTCCCAGGTAACAGAAGACCAAACTCAGGCTTAACCTATAAAGAGAACCAAAGATCTTGGAAGCAGAACAGGCTTCAGATGGGGTCTGATCCAGTTGAACGTTTTCACTAAACATTCATTTGCTCCCATCTCTCTGTGGACCTTCCCAGTGTCAGCTGCTATTTTAAGGCAGCTCCTCTCACCATCACAAGAGAATTAACAGGGGTCATCTTCCTCATTACTATCTCAAGGGAAAGGGGTTCTGTTTCTCCATAACCTTGGGCTGCCTCTTATTGAATCCACTCACACCACATTTCCACTCCTAAACCAGTTCACTGTAACAAGAATTAGGTTAATGGCCTTCAACCAATCCGCTTCTAGATCTGGGGTTAGGGGTGGGTCACTCAAACCACATGCTGAGAAATCTGGAGACCCTTTAGCATGGAAGAAAGGAAATGGATGCTGGGGAGGTGGTAACTGTCAGGACAGTGGGTCTTCCGGAACCTCCAACCCTCCCAGGTGACTGCTGCCCCTGTCTCCACACAGGATTAGTTCTGGGCACCCACAGTCAAGTTATGGCTTTTATGAGATATGAGCGAATGTAACCAAGGCTTTGGAATGTCTCTTTTAGAAATTAGTGGTGAGCAGACGAAGCATACAATTAAGTATTGAATTTTCTACAAACACAAAAGTACACATAAACACAGAACAGGCCATGACATTAAGTCCTCAAAGCAGATCCCATTCCTACCAGCCTGCCTTGTGCTGAAAGAACGCTGGTTACAGAACATGCCAAATGATGGAGTTGAAATGTTCCATCGTAACTGAAGCAGATCCTCTGCTCAGTGTGGAATGCCTTTATGTAAGTGCATATCTATGCATGTCCACCCACAGCATCAGTCCTAAGGGTTATTGCTCACTCTCTCTCCCTGTCTCTCTCCCTCTCTCTTTTTCTCTGTCCGCCCCCCCAACTCCCAACCCCCCTACCCCCCGCCCAATTGCAACCTCCTGCCACCAGGATTAAGAGAAACTAAATGCTAAGGAAAGCTTGACTCTATTCAATAGACCTCCTGGCTCAAAGTGATTAAAGATTCCAAAAGCTTCCTTATCTTCTACTACTTCTCCCATTGGTCAGGCCTTTGGATGGGGGTGGGGAGGGGTCTTAAAAATGCAAACAAATTCTCTCTTGGGAAAATAACTAGGAGCCCTTGATTCTCACTGTTAAAGACCCTGAAGGCATGAAACTCTGGTTGTGTAATTTTAATGGGAAGGAAAGAGGGCTTTATACAAAGACCAGACCAACAGCTACCAGAGGATGCCCAGGAAGTAGGCAGAGTGAATTTCAGATGGAAGGACACCAGCAGCCAACCTTTCCTATATCCCAATTTGGAGGCATTTTGCTTCTTTTAGCAAAATCATGGGAAGCAGCATCAGAAGGGGCTGTGATGAAACCCTAGAGTCTGACGTCCTGGCTTCAGACTTCAGCTCTGCTCCTGACTGCAATCCTGGGCAAGTCTTCTAACCTCTTCCTTCTTATTTTCTTTATCTACAAAAGGAAGATAATATTAAGACCTTGCATAATCACATGATAATATTTTATAGTATAATATATATACACTATACTATTAGTAGTGTAGTATAATATGTAATACACCTTTGTAGGATCATTATAGCATAACACATTACAAAATATATACTGATATAGTATAGTTATAGCCTATAGCATAATACATAATGTAATATAGTATGGTTAATAACCCCTGTAAGGTTGTTGGAGGGGTAAATGACATTCTTGACAAAGACTGGAATTGGTCTCATTCTTCATTCCCCTGTGGTGGTGGTGTTATGGTTCACACACCCTTGCCATAGCATGGAGGAGCATGGAGGAGCTTTCTCTGCCCTTGACTTTGGATATGATTACGTCACTTGCCTTGGCCAATGAAATGTTAGCAAAGGTTTGAAATGTAACTGCCTAACTGGCATTGCCCTCTTATGACCCTTCCTCAGCTCAAAGAATCAGCTAGTCTAAGAAGGATAAGGATCACATAGAGCAGACCTGGATCCCCACTGCAGCCTAGAGCCCAACCCAGCCAAGCCCTGCATAGAACAGGCAAACCCCAGTCAATGTGCACAGAATCTGTACGCCCGTGAGATTCTGTGGTTATTTATGACACCACCAAAGCTGAATGCATACTAGACATTCAATAAATATTTATTATTTTTTTATTTTTTTAATTGTATTTGGACTGTGGGGTACATGTGCATGTCCTGCATCCTGCATCCTGTTGCATAGGTACATACATGCCATGGTGGTTTGCTGTCTCCACCCCTCCCTCCTGTCACCTATGTCAGGCATTTCTCCCAGTGTTAGCTCTCTCCATCCTCCCCGCTCCCCGCACTGTCCCTCCCCTCCCCCCCCTCCCGCCCACCTAGCTCTGTGAGTGTTGTTCCCTTCTCGGTGCCCAAGTGTTCTCATTGTTCATCACCCGCCTAAGGGAAAACATAGGGTGTTTGGTTTTCTGTTCTTGTGTCAGTTTGCTAAGAATAACAGTTTCTAGGTTCATTCGTGTCTCTACAAAGGACACGAACTCATCGTTTTTTATGGCTGCATAGTATTCCATGGTGTATATGTGCCACATTTTTTTTTTGTCCAGTTTATCATCGATGGGCATTTGGGTTGGTTCCAGGTCTTTGCTATTGAAAACAGCACTGTAATGAACATACGTGTGCATGTGTCTTTATGATGGAACAATTTATAATCCTTTGGGTATAGACCCAGTAGTGGGATTGCTGGGTCAAATGGAATTTCTGTTTCTAGATCCATGAGGAATTGCCACACTGTCTTCCATAATGGTTGAACTAATTTACACTCCTACCAGTGTAAAAGTGTTCCTTCTTCTCCACATCCTCTCCAATATCTGCTATCTCCAGATATTAATGATCGCCATTCTAACTGGCGTGAGATGGTATCTCAATGTGGTTTTGATTTGCGTTTCTCTAACGACCTGTGATGATGAGCATTTTTTCATATGTTTCTTGGCCACATATTTGTCTTCTTTTGAAAAGTGTCTGTTCATATCCTTTGCCCACTTTTGAATGGGTTTGTTTTTTTTCTTTTAAATCTGCTTTAGTTCTTTGTCGATTCTGGATATTAGCCCTTTGTCTGATGGGTAAATTGTGAAAATTTTTTCCCATTCTGTTGGTTGCCGGTTTACTCTAATCACTGTTTCTTTTGCTGTGCAGAAGCTCTGAAGTTTAATTAGGTCCCATTTGTCTATTTTGGTTTTTTTTGAGACGGAGTTTCACTTCTTGTTACCCAGGCTGGAGTGCAATGGCATGATCTCGGCTCACCGCAACCTCCGCCTCCTGGGTTCAAGCAATTCTCCTGCCTCAGCCTCCTAAGTAGCTGGGATTACAGGCATACGCCACCATGCCCAGCTAATTTTTATATTTTTAGTAGAGATGGGGTTTCACCATGTTGACCAGGATGGTCTCGATCTCTTGACCTCATGATCCACCCGCCTCGGCCTCCCAAAGTGCTGGGATTACAGGTGTGAGCCACTGGACCCAGCCCCTAGTTTGGCTTTTGTTGCCATTGCTTTTGGTGTTTTAGTCATGAAGTCCTTGCTTATGCCTACATCCTGAATGGTTTTGCCTAGGTTTTCCTCTAGGGTTTTTATGGTGTTAGTTCTTATATTTAAAGGTTTAATCCATCTGGAGTTAACTTTTGTATAAGGTGTAAGGAAGGGTTCCAGTTTCAGCTTCCTGCATATGGCTAGCCAGTTTTCCCAACACCATTTATTAAATAGGGAATCCTTTCCCCATTGCTTGTTTCCATCCAGTTTATCAGAGATCAGATCATTGTAGATGTGTGGCGTTGCTTCTGAAGGCTCTGTTCTGTTTCATTGGTCTATATCTCTGTTTCAGGCTGGTAGGTAGATCTCTTCATGGAGGGAGCACAAGAACAGGGACGGGGGTTTGGTCTCTCATAGGAGGTCCCCCATGCCGGGTTTCCAGCACAAAATGTTAAAAAAAACATGCACTTTGAATGAAGAGACCTTCCAAACAGGCTTTGTGTGAGCAACATAGCTGTTTATTTACCTGGGTGCAGGTGGGCTAAGGCTGAAAAGGGCATTAGCCAAGAAACCATAATTTCTATCAAAAGGAATATTCCCATAAGCACACTGGAGAAATCCAGAGCTTCAATCTTCTCTTGTTTCCTTGGAACGCAATTAGCCAGAACCTTCTCATAGGATTTTTATATCCAGTGATATAAAAATTTCATGAAGTTCCTTTGTTCATGAAGTTCCTTCTCCAAGGGTCTGGCTGATTTGAGAATTACAAATACTTAACAAGCCCTTTCTCTACTTAATAGAGTCCACATATTTTGAAACTACTATTTCACATTGTTTTGGTTTTCTTGGTTTGGGGCAGAAATTCTAATTTAGCACCAAGAGGACATGATCTAGTGTTTGTCATCAAACACTAATAAGAGCAGTATCACCCAAAAAGCAATGACTTAGACATTTTATGCTGCTATATCATTCCTATGGTCTTCACTCTGGGCAAACAGTTTAATATGTAGTAAGTTCATTGAGCAGTCACTTCATCTTGCAAAGATATTTTTTCATTCATTTAACAATTTCTGTAGCCCCTACTATATGCCAGACACAAACTGGAGGTACAGTGGTGAATACTCTCAGAAAGGTTACATTCTAGCATCATTTATCTGACTCAATAAGGTAGTGTAGCAATTTCTCATTCATCTTCAAGAAAACCTCTACCATAAATTGTTCCAAGAAGGAATTTTCTTCAAATGGTTCTGTCTTCAATCGATCTCGGCTCAGCGTAGCCCCACTCTCCTGGTAGTCTTGGATCTCTAGGTCTTTCATATGAAGCAATGTTGCTAGCTCTCTCACTTGGCACTGCAATGATAGACTCATGCCCATTAGAGGACGAATCAAATGTTGAGAGACCAGGATAGGACTAGCTAGGATGCAGTGGAAATTCCAACAGAAGGGGAGGCCAGAGAGCTCACTCCGCACCCATAAAATCAGTGCGTCTGCCACACGATCACAGGAGAAGCTAGCTTTGCTAGGGTGAGCAGCATCCTTCAACAATGGGCGAAGCAGATTATCCAAATGACAGAGGAAAGCTGCAGGAGGGGCAATCAGCCGCTTGTTCAGCTCCTAAAGAGAGAGCAGTGGTACAGGGGAAGGGTGCTAAAAGGAAACGAAATCTCTCATAAGTAACGGCAAAGGAAAGCCCTTGGCTCGCTGGCTGACCACACTAGTGTCCACCTGTTCATGCCTCACCTGTTGAAGATCTGAAACCAACAAGGCATAGCCCTGGTTGGTGATGAAAACCTTGGCCAAGAGGAAGTTCTCAGCAAGCTGTAGCCGTGCCCACGGCTGCATTAGCAACCCTTGCTCCAGCTCCTCTATCATTAGAGGCCACGAGAGCTCCCACCCTCCTCGCCGTACGCACACGCTCCTGCCTGCCTGCGCAAACCGAAAAGCCTAGAAGAAAGCAAATATTTATTATTTATATAATGAATGGCATGAGAAATTGCACATGGTTTATACAACCAGGGTATATTTACAATGTCATGTTTGTGATATTTGCTCTCATATTGCCTTCTTGGAATCTGAGCCAGCTGGTATCCTGTGATGTGGCTGACCAATAAAATCATTAGCTTCCCCTCTATTGACATCAGTGTTTGTCATGAATCCTTCACTGCATCACCCATTATTCACGTGTATTGAGTGCATTCCATGTTTGCTAGAGAAGAGAACATACCACCGTGAGAACGGTGGGTAAGGCTGAGCCTGCAGGAAGCTTCTTGCATTCTAGTAGGGGAGACAGATAACAGATAAATACATAAAGAAACAAGCACACATAGACTCTGATGAGCGCTGAGACATCACTAAATGAAATGATGTGTCAGAGAGTCACTGGGGGAGGCCACTGTGTATAGTGGCCAAGGAAAACCTCAACCGTCAGCTCAGGATGAGCTGAGGGAGGAAGAAGAGGAAAGGGAGTCAGCCTGCAACAACTGGGGGAAGAGTGTTTCAGGAGGAGAAATGGCAAGCACAAAAGGCGTCCTGTGACTAAGAGGAGTGCACGAGAGACAAGTGGGGATGGGAGGAGATGGGGAAGGGCCGGGGTGGCCATACAGGTGGAGGAAAGAAGCTTGAAGTTCATTCCCAGCACAGTGAAGCCTTTGAAGGGTCTTAAACATGAGAACAAAGATCATCCAGCCAAAAGCCTAGCTAGGTGGCTGTGCTGGTATCCAAGGGAGAGGTAACAGTGTCCTGGACCAGGAAGATGGCTATAGAGAGGGACACACATAGTTGAGGATATAAAGGGACTAGAGATGTATTTTGGAGCCAGAGCAGACAGGATATTATTCCATCATGAGCCTTGCAGAAATATAGACCTCAAGGAGAAACCACTGGAAGGCTTCAGAGTCAATGTGGGGACTTCATAATGAAAATAAGCCCAGGCCGGGCCCGGTGGCTCACGCCTGTAATCCCAACACTTTGGGAGACTGAGGGAGGTGGATCACCTGAGGTCAGGAGTTCGAGACTAACCTGGCCAATATGATGAAACCCATCTCTACTAAAAATACAAAAATTAGCTGGGCATGGTGGCACACACCTGTAATCCCAGCTACTTGGGAGGCTGAGGCAGGAGAATTGCTTGAACCCGAGAGGTGGAGGTTGCAGTGAGCCAACTGCACCATTGCACTCCAGCCTTGGTGACAAGAACAAAACTCCACCTCAAAAAAAAAAAAAAAAGGAAAAGAAAAGAAGCCCAAGAAAAAGACAGACTCTCCTGCCAGGGTAATCACCTCATAAAGAATAGGCTTAACATGTTGGTGATAGGAGGAATATGTTTTCCTCATGTGAAACAAGTCTATGTAGTCACTAGGGGAAAAGTGATGGCCATGGTGTTATTTTCTGTGTGTGACACAATGATGAAGGGTGTTTGTCCTTAGAAAATACAGAGCAGAATAAAGAACCCTGGTATACTAGTGCTGGAATGTCAGTCTGTACAACCATTATGGAAACGGCATGGAGGTTCCTCAAAAGATTAAAAACAGAACTACCATATGAACTAGCAATACCACTTGTGAATCTATATACAAGGGAAATGAAATCAGCGTGTTGAAGAGATACCTGCACTCTCACGTTCACTGCGTGTTCGTTGCAGCATTATTTACAATAGCCGAGATAAGGAAACAACTTAAGTGTCATTGACAGATGAATGGATACATTGCAGGTGTGTGTGTGTGTGTGTGTGTGTGTGTGTGTGTGTGTGTGTGTGTAAAAATGGTTTGGATGTATGTCCCCTCCAAATTTCGTGTTGAATTCTAATCCACAATGTTGAAGGTGGGGCCTGGTGGAAAGTGATTGGACCTTGGGGAGCAGATCCTTCATGAATGGCCTGGCACCATCTCCTTGATAATAAGTGAACTCCCTCTGAGTTCACATAAGATATAGTTGTTTAAAAGAGTGTGGCACCTCCCCACTACCCCTCTCTCTCTCTCCTGCTCTCACCATGTGACATGCTGGCTCTCCCTTCACCTTCTGCCATGATTGGAAGCTTCCTGAGGCCTCCCCAGACGTCGAGCAGATGCTGGTGCCATGCTTCTTGTACAGCCTGCAGAACCATGAGTGAATTAAACCTCTTTTCTTTATAAACCACCCAGCCTTGGGTATTTCTTTACAGCAATGCAAAAAACAGCCTAACACAATATGTATGCATGTATATACACAATGGAATAGTATTCTGCTTTAAAATAGGAAGGAGGTCCCGTCATATGCAACACACATGGATAAACCTGGAAAGCATTATGCTAAGTGAAATAAACCAGACACGGAAAGACAAGTATTGCCTGATCTCACTTCCATATGGAATTTCAAACAGTGGAATTCATAGAAGAGTAGAATGATGGTTGCCAGGGGTTGGGGGTGTGAGTTGCAGGTAAACAGGGAATGGGGAGTTGTTGGCCAAAGAGTACAAGCTTTCACTTAAACAAAAATAGGTTCTGTAGACCTACTGTATAGCATGCTGACTATATTGAATCATAATCTATCGTATACTTGAAAATCACTATTGGCAATTGTGAAGAGGCTGCCTTGGGGGCATTGGCTCTGCTTAGAACACAACATGATGTGTCTCTAATGGTACATCCTCTGTAATTGGTTTTACCAAAACTAAGACAAAATATGCTTTGCTTCCCCTGGAGCCTCCTTCCTAGTGGGTCTCCAAAGTCTCCTAAACACGCTCTGAACACATGGAGAAATCAGTGCATTTAGGACACTGTGGCTGAGCACCTGCTTTAGCTTTTGCAATGGCTGTGGGCCAGCAGGGAGAGATGGGAAATGGAAAAGTCCAAAATCTGGACAATGGATGGGAAACCACGACCCAAGAATTCTGAGTAATCATCAGAACCTGCATTTCCCTCACCTGGGGTTTGCGTCAGTGAGGTTTTAAGGATGAGTGACATCTCAGGTTCATCTGTCACCCACCTCACAGCCTGCTGGCAGCAGTGCTGAGGCTACTCTTGGAATACATACTTCCATCTTGCCTGTCTGTCCTTGCTGAGGGCACACTTCACTCCCCTGGAAGCCTCTCAACCCAAGAAACAAGGAGCCAGCCCTGGTCCCTGATTTGTCTGTACCTGGTACATACTTCCAAAGGGTACAACACTGACCCAGGATAATCTGTGTACCTGATACTCTCCCCACTAGTCTCTAACCTCTTTGTGGACAGGGACTGTCTCTCCATCCATACGCTCATCACAGAGCATAGCACAGAGGAGATGTTACATCCATACATGGACACAGGAGGGAGGGAGGGAGGTTTCCACAGGAAGTGAGGCGGAATAATCTCAGACCTTGTGGTCTTTAAAACATAAATATCAGTACCCCAGAGGGTACCAAATCAAGCGCAAAGTGAAAACTCACAAAGCCCTCATACATCTTCTGTCTTATCCCAAAAGAATGCAAAATCTCTCCCAGGAATAGAAGGGCAAGAAATGTAGAAGCAATCATGGAAATGCCTTCAGAGACGTCATAGGATCGGTTTCTGGGATTCCATGCACATTTGCTAAAGCTGATGTTTTAGAGGTGTGGGTTATTTACGATTGCTAACTCCAGCACAGTTACATGAGACAGTGAAGTTATTTGGAGAAATTAATGTCAAGCTGCAGTTCCCACCACTGGGAGGTGAAGGTCTTCCCACTGTTCCAGGCCAGCCTTGAGGCCTGGAGTAACTGTCCCCCACCTATCCATAGAGGGAAATCCTCCTTTCTCTCTGGCAAGGCCAACTTAAATGTCTCTCCACAAGGCCTCCTCAGAACCCGTAACGGGAGTGAACATGGTCTTCTGAGTGTTTGGGGCACTGAAAGAAGCAGAGTGCAGCTGTGCTTAGAGGGCAGACTTTGGATGCAGTCTGCCTGGGTTCCAGTCCCTATTCCCAGTTACTATTTGCATGCTCATGAAGGAGAAATCTAACCTATCTTGATTCAGATTCCTCACCTGAAAAACACGGAGAGTAACAAAACCTACGTCTTAGGGGTGCTCTAACAAGTTAATACACACAAAAGCACATGAAGGATGCACTGCGTTTGCTATTATTATTATTACTTATATCCTTAGGATAAAGACTGCATCCTTTCTTGTAACACAGCCACTGTTGCACCCTAGGTGGAGGCATCTCAAGAAAAGAAATCACTTAGCCCAGTCTTTGTTTTGCTCTCAGTGCTGTGTGGCTCACACAGAGTAAATATAAATCAGTGGTTATTTCCTCCATGAAATTGCAGGTGCATTATAGAGAAGACACCCCTGGTCCCACCACAAACTGGTCCCTTTGGTGGGCACAGTGGCTCATGCCTGTAATTACCGCACTTTGGGAGGCCAAGACGGGCTGATCACCTGAGGTCGGGAGTTCGAGACCAGCCTGACCAACATGGAGAAACCCCGTCTCTACTAAAAATACAAAATTACCCAGGCATGATGGTGCATGCCTGTCATCACAGCTACTCAGGAGGCTGAGGTAGGAGAATTGCTTGAAACCAGGAGGCAGAGTCTGTGGTGAGCTGAGATCGCACCATTGCACTCCAACCTGGGCAACAAGAGCAAAACTCTGTCTCAAATTAAAAAAAAATGGAATCTTGATGCTGGTAATATTCAACCGTCCCTTTCTCCTAAGGAACTTGGGCTGTGACAACATCCGCATTCAGCAGCAGCAGGTCCAGGCCAGCTTTTTTAAGACTCCGATCCTTCTTACTATTTTTTAAACACACCTGTCTCTTTCAACCTCCTTTCCACAAACATAGAGGAGTCATATGGAAGCCAAAGAATAGACATTAGGAATTTACAGTCAATTGGAAAAGAGGAAGGACATGGCAGAACAGGGACGCCTGAGCTCAAATGCTGGCCTGGCTGCTGTATCTCCACCTATGGCCATACAGAAGTCAATGCAAGGATCTGAGCCTTCTCACTCCTCA